GTCAGCTCCCCGCGGGCACCTGGACCTCCTACAGCCCTATATATGGTTGTGCAATAAATATCCAGCCCAAAATAATCCTAATAAACATAGCTCTCCGTAACCATTATTGATCATCCAGCATCTGTTACCAAAAACAATGATGTCTTTAATTCTTAATGCTAAATTATTAACTCTACAGAAAGTCCTCCAAAGAGGTTTCTAGGTTGTCCAATTTAGACAAAAGAGGGGGTTTTTGTTTTTAGCTTCATCCTTCTCTCACAAACAAATCTAAATATCGTCAGTAAAATGATGTCCAGCACTCTGACAGGAGCCTGGTCCACAATAACCAGCGGCCTAGTTCATCTCTAAAGCAACCCTCACAAACCCTTACCCCAAAAGAGCGTGTTACACCTCCAGACAGCCATTCCATAGCTACCTGCGTAACCAGGAATGGAGACGTGGGGTGCAGCAGGGCATACAGGCATGTGACACGAGCAGGGCACGGCCTTGGCACTGGAGACTCCACAGCTACGAACAACTCAGCCACTGTTGGTTAAAGAAAGGCAGACCTGGAGCCGCACAAAACTGGTTTTAGGGATAACACAGAGAGCAAAGAAGTTGTATCTAACATGCACAAAGGTCACGATATAGACAGTGAGTTTGGATGTAACAGAGCTGCAGACCAACAAAGAAAGATCAAGAGCGTAAAATCTTGTTAGCAAACAAAAAATGACCCCATGTGGATCCTGGAGCAAGGAAGAAGAAACCATCCACATGAACGTCAGATTTGTCCCAGTGAAGCACTCCACACGTTGACACCTTGCTGTGACACTCCCTATACACCCCAGAATGAAACTGCCAACCTTCAGGCCCAGGGGAGCCACAGATGGGTGAGAAATTCTTGGCTTTACTTACATATAAGGCGTGCTTCCTCTTTGCCCTTAACCATGATTTTGAGCGTAACACCTGGTACCCCTAGGTAACGATGCCTTACACGCTGGGTACGCGTAGACATGAATTCCAGCCAGGTCTATATGTACACATTTTCAAATAGTTTCCACACAGACCCCTCCTACCAACCCAACCATTCAGTATGGAGTGATCTCACTGGAGACAAATGGTGCAATGTCCAGGTGTTACCGTAAATCGGCAGATGAAGAACTCTAAGACTCAATTTGGAGTTTTAGAAAAAGCAGGCATTCTTTATTGCAGCGCCGGGTGCAAGGTGGAATTTCCACAAATCAAGCACACCTAAGGCTAGATCACTGTTACATTTATACGCAAAAATTACAAGGTAATACACTCCCAATTACAATGATTGGTTAGTGATTTACAGACTTATAATATCTGCTGTGTCATTCTCTTCTGTTACTATGCTTGCGCAGGGGAAGGGTCTTCACCTGGGCGAGGGTCTTCTTGACCTGTGGGTGTGTTTTTTAGTATTATAATGAGGACAGTTCACTTCAGGTTACCTTAAGATAAATTTCACTGTCAAGTTAACTTGATAGTCATTCATCTACCATGTCAAGTTGTCAAATAAGTCATCCCATATACAATAAGGCCTAAGTGGTCTGGTCGTGCTCTAGAGACTTAAAAGTTATACAATAAAGCCTACGTGGTCTGGTTGCGCTCTAGAGACTTAAAAGTAAGGTTAACATGGTCCAGTGAATAACACAGCAACCCTTTACATAACGCTAACATGAAGATTAATAACACAGCAGCAACCCCTACATGACGTTAACATAAAGATTAATCAAAATGTTCTTATAGTTACTCATTCACTATCAAACACAAAATATAAATTCAATAAAAAATAATAATCAACATTTACAACACAGGTCAGCGATAAACTTCCCGTATTTTTAATCCAGTAAGACCAACAGCATGGGACCCATCTTGGGCCTTTCCTCAAAACTCTGCAGCTTTTAGATCTACTGCATTCTTTTCCTGGCAGATCAAGCGGTTACAATAGGGTACCTTAAGTATGCCGGAGTGGTCATTTTGAAGACAAATGGAAATCTTTTCACAGTGATAAACGCTCACTCTTCCTGCAAGTTCAGGCAAACACATCTACGTGACTGTAACTTGGTAGTAGACTTCACACCTTCCTTTAAAACCATCTCAATAGAAATATATTAGCCAGACTTCCTTGGGGTATTAACTTGCTTTATGTATTTGCTACCCCCCCTTATCTTGCAGGGGGTTGAAGAGAGAGGGAAAATGGACGCAAGTGTGAGCAACCACAGCTTGTTATTTGCCTTACAGAACAACTGCTTGTTGCTGACATTCTGATTCACTAAATAAGTTACTGGCCTCAAGAATAATAATTCTGATGCAAATTAATTAGAAACTTTCATGCTACATTTCTCTCTCTGATTCTATGTGCGTGCTCATTACCAGGGGAAAAAAAAGAAGTGTTAAGTTATCCTTCCATTTCTATACCTATAACAATATAAAAGGGGTGAATCCTTCTGCTTAACACGTATATCTGCATTTGCTTGTTTTTCCTTATAAGTTTCAGCAGTGTTTCCTGCCCTTTCTCCCATTTCTCTGTTCTGTGCTGGTTTCCATAAATATTCACATCACAAAGATCATGCCCGCAACAGCTGGGATAAACATAAGACTTTTCACTTTCAAAATGGTTAAGATAAACCCATGTTCAAATGTTTCCCCACACAGCAAGTCAGTAAGGAAAAAAAACCCCAACCTTTTGCTGTAATGTAATCAATGTTTTGGTTTCTCACAAATGTAAGAGAAATTTCCTTGTATCAACCTCTCTAGAAATATGGAACTCTACCATGAAACCTAATGTTCTCCAGCTGTTAAGAAAAATAGTACTTAAGTGTTTTAAATCTTATATTCAGGAGGAGGAAGGAGGAAATAAATCTTTTTCTTGAATTCTGCTCTACATACAAACTCAGACTGTGTTTGTTTGGTGTTCTAACTACCCTGCTGAGAATTTCCATCTCGGGAAGGATGAAAATAATGAACTTTCTGGTAAGGCACACAGAGGTTCAGAAGACCACCAAGCTTCCTTTCCTTATAGTATTACATATATCTTACATTCATAAATAATACAAATGTAGCACTGTTGCTGTCCCACATCTCAGATTAACAAGGGGGGCTGTAAATACAAAGAAATCCTGTCAGATATATATACATAAATTTATGCATATCAAATTTATTTTGTCCCGGTAGGATATCTTTCACAAATATTAAATAAAATTAAACATTTTAAATTAATTATTCATCACAGGTGAGATTTTTAGAAGAAAAAAAAGCAAAAAACAGCATTTTTTCCAGAATGAAAAGTAAACCTGGACTTTCTGGAAAAAGAGTAATTAAAATAATAAATTAAATGACTATGTCCTTCGAAATATTTATAATAGCATGTATGTTACAGCAATTTTGCACCCAAGTTACTACATTTTAGGTAATAACATTTAGCATTGTATCATAAATTGTGGGATTATGAGGCCTGTAGAATTTCTGAGGTTGTTTTTTCTTATGGATTTGTGGAAGCTTTGCTGATTTACTTCAGCTTGACAATTTGATGCGAGAGACAAAGCAATGTTTCATCAACTGAAAATTGTCAGTGATTGGAATGGGGACAACTTTTCAGCTATGATTTTGGTTCCAAAAACACTTTATGTGCATAAGCAGTTAGGAGATCAACAGGACCATTCACATGGTAAATTTAAGTCCTTACACCTTTTCATAGACCCAGTGTCACCATTTTAACTTTTTTCATGAATCAAATGGCTACATGAATCTGGAGTCCCAATGGAGAAATAAGCTTGAAGTTATGGCAAGTGTTTATATTTTACCAAGCATAAAGATAAACTTCCACAATAGATACAAACCCTACTTGTATTCCAACTGTGCCATTTGGGCTAATGTGTTTTTCACCCATCCCTTTACATAAACCAAGGGACAGCCAACCTTTCTGGCTCAGAACAAAATGCTCAGATTGCCATGTCAGAGAAAAAGGGAACAGTGGGAGAAGTTCAGAGACAGATGACAACGGTGTCCTCTTGAGACTGGCCAGGCTGGCACGCGGTGCAAGGGTGGTTTGCCCTTGTGCGCAGGCAACCCAGCAGTGATTCAAGATACTCTGACGGCTCTGTCATCTGTTCCTATAGAAGGACTGTAATATGGGAGAAGAGAGAAATTATGAACCAGACACAATGGCAATTACTGAGTTGGAGAACTTGGCTGGAACGACTTTGTTATATTAGCCATTTGAAAAATGTTTAACTAATCCAGGAATGACAGTGTACTCGTATGGTTTCTTGCAGTGGATGGGGCGGAAAGGCCTTTTCGGCAGAGACAGGCCTGTTAATTACATGAGTTGAGTTCCGTTCCCGCTCTTCTTCAGGCTGCTGCAGTTTGAGCTCTCTGTCCTACTCAGCAAGTT